CAAAAACAAATTACTTAAGGATTTTAATCAAACTGACTTGCCAGTAAAAGGCCACAGACTCGTTGGCATATAAAAGTTTGGGATTGCATTCTCACAAACACTCTACAGGAAGCCCTAGAAAGGCATGAGCAATCAAGAACAGGAACAACAATGAGCAGTAAGGACATGCATCTGTAGAGAGCATACCAAAGTAAAAGTTGAAAGAGAGCCGTTAGGGCTGCTCCTACAACCCAGATGCAGCAATCTCCAAAAGTGAGGGGAGAACACAGCTGCAGTACATTTCAGCCATACAGCAGTAAACTAGCATATACAAGGTCCCAATAAACAAACTCTGCTCTAAAAGTGCCATGAGTGTAAAGAGAAAAAGTAAACACATACTACTATAATTTGATCACCACTAATCTGGACTAGATTCTTGATATGGAATCCTATGGCCCTAGACATGAATCAAAAGTATCAGCAGGAAGTTATGAAGTACTTTTTTAAATTGTTGGCCAATATAGTAAGATACACATAAAATGTACAATTCCATCACTAGAAGAGTATACAACTCAGTAAAATTAAGAGTGTTACCCCCACCACCATCTCCAGAACCTCATCATGCTAAACTCAAAACGTTATATTTGTATACATAAAAACACATATACAAGATTGTTTTTCCTCTAAAAGCAATAATCATAGTAGAAGTATGTGAGTGAAAATTGTTGCCTTGAAGTACTATTTCATGGAAAAAGAATCCATGGCTTGTTGGAGATACTATGATTCCATATATGGGATAGGTACATACAAAGTAAACCTAGAATCTCTTGCCACACCAAGAGGTCATCAAAAGACTACTAGGACTAAGCAATAAAACCTGAAGATTCAGGCTAGAGAGATGGTTCTCTGGGTAGCAGTGTTTGCTTCTAAAGGATGCTGACCTGAGTTCCTCTGTCATGGAAATTGTTAACAGAACTGTGTTTTTATTTTTTTAAGCCAGGGTCTCACTATGAAACTCTGGTTGTCTTAGAAATCATTATGTAGACTGGCCTCATGTTTCCTGAGTGCTGGGACAGAAGGCATACACAATCACACCCAGACAGTGTTTTTAAAAAGATCTTTGAAGAGAATTTAACTGTCCAAAAATAGGAATCTTGAGTATTAATGAGGATAATTGTAATATAACAAAACATGTCTGCTACACCCTACTATGAAAAATAGCCAAGCACTGAAAAATAGTTATGAAACTAATTTACTAGAACAGAAGATAGAAAAGCAGACAGGAGAAAGCTGGGGTAAGACTAGAAGTGATTAGTGTTCAGAGTTCATAGCATGTGTTTAGCATGCACAAAGAACTGGGTTCAATCCCCAGTTCTTCGTGGTGGCAACACAGAGGAACGACTCAAAAAGAGTGTTTACTTAAAGCACACTGCACATAGTGATACCTGGTGTCTGCCACTATTCTGAATATAAATGCACAGCAAAGTCCAACATCAGACTTAAAATGTGTGCAAAACCGTGTTACCATCCACACCTCCCTAAAGAACAGCAGGCAATGTTAAGCAGTATGGCAGTTGCTCAGAAAAATGGAAATCCGTCTACCTCAAGATCCAGCAATTCCTCTCTTGGGCATATACCCAAATAATGCACCTTCATACAACAAGGACATATGTCCAACCATGTTCATAGCAGCATTGTTTGAAATAGCCAGAACCTGGAAGCAACCTAGATGCCCCTCAACTGTAGAATGGATAGAGAAAATGTGGTACATTTACACAATGGAGTACTACTCAGCAGAAAAAAGCAATGGAATCTTGAAATTCGCAGGCAAATGGATGAAACTAGAAGAAACCATCCTGAGTGAGGTAACCCAGTCACAAAAAGACAAACATGGCATGTACTCACTCAGATATGAATTTTAGACATAGAGCGAAGGATTACCAGTCTACAATCCTCTTCACCAAAGAAACTAGGAAACAAGAAGGACTCTAAGGGAAAAATGCATGGACCCAAGGAATGGAAAGGGGCAGGAACTCCTGAGCTAATTGGGAACATGAGGGTAAGGGAGAAGGAGCTGCCATAATGAGGAGGAGGAGGGGAAGAGAGAGGAGAGGAGGAAATGGAGGAGCAGAAATATTGAGTTGGGGGAAGAATAGAGGAGCGTAGGATGAGAGATCCATATTAGAGGGAGCCATTATAGGTCCGAGGAGAGATCTGGCATTAGGGAGATTTCCAGAGACCTACAAGGATGACACAAACTGACTATCTAAGCAATGGTGAAGAGGATAACCTAAATGCCCTTCCCCTATAATGAGACTGATGACTACTTTTTATGCCATCCTAAAGCCCTCATCCAGTGGCTGATGGAAGCAGAGGCAGACATCCACAGATATACACTGAACTGAACTCTGGAACTTAGTTGCAGAGAGGGAGGAATGAAGATCAAAGGGGTCGTTACCAGGCTGGTGAAACCCACAGAAACAGCTGGCCTGTACAAGGGAGAGCACATGGACCCCAGACTGCTGTCGGGGAGGCCAGTACAGGACTGATCCAGACCCCCTGAACATGGATGTCAATTAGGAGGCCTCTGCACTCTAGGGGGCCCCTGGTAATGGATTAGTATTTTCCCCTGGTGTAAGAAGAGACTTTGAGAGCCCATCCCATGTGAGATGCATTCTCGGCCTAGACACATGAGTGAGGCCCAGGATGATGTGATGGACTTTGGGGAGCCCTCATTGAGGGCTCTACCCTGCCTGGGGAGTAGAGGATGGATGGGGTGGGGGGCAAAAGGGGTGGGAGAGGGGAGGGAGAGGGAGAAGGGATTGAACATGTAAAGCAAGCAAATAAAAAAAAGAAAAAGAAAAAAAAGAAAAAAAGGAAAGAACCACCACCACCACTTGTCTATGAAGAGTTTGCTCGAGATAGGCTTAGAACACCAGGACTCAATGGGCGAGGATGAACTACAAAGTCGTCCTATTCAACAGGATGAAAACAGAATGGAGTGCTTTAAACTGGCAACCAACAGCTTTAACTTAATACACGATTGTGAGGCCAAGGCTGGAAATTAAATGAACTTCATAAAGATCTCACATAAACTTATGACTTACTTCAAAGGCTACTGGGGCAAGTCTGACCATGCCTGGCAGATATGAGTCCCATGACCAACAGGCTGATGGGCACCACTCACTAGTCCCATGTTTCCTTTTATGTGGGTGGGAGAGTGATAAAAAGACACTTATAGTTATATACCCACCTGGGGCTGTAGAAGATGGTTCAGCAATTAAGAGCACTGGCTGTTCTTCCAGAGGACGAAGGTCTAATCCCCAATACCCACATGGCACCTCACAACTGTCTGTAACTCCAGGTCCAGAGAATCCGACACCCTCACACAGACATACATGCAGGTAAACCAATGCACATAAAATAAAAACACGTAAATCATTCTTAAAAAAAATGTTCTACCCAACTGCTCACAAATAACAAAAAGCCCTAAATGACAGAATAAATCAGTATTGGCCCTAAAACACATTTATGCTTCTTTTAAAAACAGCCAATTTCTCACCTCCCTGTAATTTAAATAAACTACACCAGCATGTCCTTTAAATTGCTTTGACAACTTTTTGGATATCTGCTACTCTGGATCTGTCTCTCAGAGAAAAACAGCCTCTTCCTAAGTACTAGCCCAAGTAAAAGAAAAATTGCAACTGAATTCAATCCCGGTTTGCTCAAGTAGTCACTTTGGGATCAAAAGTTTAAGTAGCTACTAGAGGCTGAGACGATCATGTTCTGAGCACTAGGGGTAAGATGTCACAAGGGCTTCCCAGGCAGAAAATGTCCTCACATAGCTTGTTAGACCACTGCACTGGTTCAGGTTTTCAGGAAGCTCACCAATTAAACACTGCATGACAAGGCCAAATTTGAAACAGACTATTCATTCTTGGACACAATAGACACTCACACAGACCTTATAAAATGCACTGCCATTGGCATCTTGGGCTAATAGTTTTTGTTACAGGAGCTGAAGAAATAATTATTTCCATTAAAGAACCATCATTCTTGCTTTTAAAGAAGGCTTGTAAGAGCCAGGCATGGTGTTATACTTTAATTCCAAGTATTTGGGAGGCAGAGGTGAGCAGATCTCTTGGAGTTCAAGGCCAGTCTGGTCTACAAAATGAGTTCTAGGACAGCCAGATGCAGAGATAAAAAATAAAAAGAAAGCAAATCTTTGATCACTGGCTGAGCCAAGTGTAAACTCTACCCTGAGATACACACAGATGACTGTTCTTGGGATTATCTATGTTACTGCTGAAGCAGGTACCTTAGAGATTTCTATTCCTCCTGCTATTTTTATTTCTAAAATCCTTCAAAAGAAAAACAGTAACATTTTCACCACATAACAATGTCAGTGGAGCTAGTGAGCTGGCTCAGCAGTTAAGAGCACTCACGGATCTTGCAGAGGGCCTACCCTTATTAGCCCAGCTACCCACACCACATGGAGGCTCACACCTGATGCACTCTTTGGGCCTCTGGCAGGCATCAAGCACTCTCACACATACATACATGCAGGAAAAACACTCATACACATAAAATAATAAATTAAAAAATTGTTATTTTCAGTGTACTAGTGTCAGTCTATAGTAACCATGTTCAAGAACAAAAACATACAAAAAAAAAACCTACCTTTATTGCTAATAGTAGTGTCACTGGGAGGAAAATAGGTAATTTTTATGTCTTTCCCCATGCATCATAATAAAGGGGATGGCAAACTACTGCCCATAGTCATCTGTGTTTCCCTAATGTTTTACTGTCATTTATTTGTATTGTCAGTGACAGCTTTCATTCAGCAGAATGGAGTTTCTGCAACAAACACCATACGTGGCTTGCCAAGTTTAAAGTACTTCCTACCCGGCTCTAAAGACAGTGTGTCAAGCTGTGCAGTTGAAATGTTACTATGCCACACTCACTAAAGCTTCACTTGAAGAAAAGGAAATGACACAAATCAAATGACATGCTCACTCTGATTCAGGCACTTTCAAGATCATAGTTTATTTATTACTTCAGATAAAAAGATAGTATACATATTAGGGAGTCCCTTAAAATTCAACTCTAAAGTTAATATGCATCTAGTATTTTTGCATCAAATGTTAACCAAAAGTTTCTAGACACCTGAAAGCCCCACTATTAACATGAACTATGGTAATAAAAAATTTGACAATTAATTTGTTCAATGTATAGTATTTACATTATGAAACCAATGGTACATAAACAGTGATAAAGAATAAAATCAACATTAAAAAGCAGAGGTTTGTAGTCTTACGATGTGCTAATTATCATAATTGTATATAAAATTAAAACATAGCAGAGCTTTCTGTTACAAAACTCTTAATCATCTGAGTTGCAATCATTACTTGCTACCAAATTACATGCAACATCTGCTAGGACTGATATCTGACTTTTGTTTCCTCCAGAAAGGATGCGTAGATAAATGATATTTTGGAGCAGACATTAATTTACTTGAGGACAGAAAAAAAGTGGGGGGAAAGTACTCAAGATTAGTACTGGTCACAAGCCTCTTTCCTACAGAAATCATAACAACAAAAAAAAAAAAAAAAAAAAAAAAAAAAAAAAAAAAAAAGTCCCCAAAAGAAATGCACAGGCAGAGTACCATGAGGGGCACAGCTCAAAAAGAGCCCTGAACAAATCACACATCTTCTCTCCTTCAGTGATGAGAGGTCTGTTTTGCCATCAAATAACAATGAATGAATGAAGCCAAGTGAGGGGCACCAGGTGCACAATTAAATTTTGCAAAATACTAAGACGAGGCAGAGGTGGCCAGAAGAAGGGGTGATTCATATATAATTCAAACTATATACAGCATAAATGGAATGCAGCCCATCTCAAACTGGCTTTGTGAAACAATTGGACCTTTATGATTTAATAGCTAAAATTATAACTGGTGTAATCATACAATAGATTTACACAGGAAGCAAAATCCAAGGGGCGTTTTATATTACCTATTTACTGTGCTGTTTCAATTTAAAAATAATTTTGCTAAGTATACATCTCAACTGAGGTCTATGTATAAAATGTCCTAATAGATACAGATATTTACCTTTGGTGAGTTGAAGGCCTTGTTGTGACTTGTCTGAATTGTAGGCAGAATGCCAGGTGACTATGCACATGTGGGAAAACTCAAGCTGAGGTAATCCAAAAGCTGTGCAATGAGGTGACTGGAGGTACTCTGATAGTCAAAGTACACCAGAAACCCAAACAGGTAACAGTGAAAATGGCAACGGGGAATGGAGTGCCAATATGGCAATAAGGTTGATTAAAACAGAAAGAGGAAGGCCTCTCGTACCAGCAGAATCCTGCGTACATACAAAAAGAAATAGCCACCCACCATTTTGTAGAACAAAAGCCAATTATTAGTGTGGGAAAGTACAAACTACAGAAAACCAGAAGTCAATAGAAGAAAAGCTACCGATTCACGTGAGAAAAAGGAAACATTCCACTCTGACAGTTACTTGGTGAACGCAGCTACCACGGCCCATAGAACTTCATTGGTATTGGCCTTCAGACACTCCACTTCTGGGTCTAAGTCAAGAAGCTGCCGTACTCTCTTGGTGGCTAAATCATACTGCTCATCCAGAAGAGGAGCAAAGGCGTTTTCCAAAACATCTGAGGCATGGGCTAGGTAAATGAGGGCCAGCAAGCGCTTGTCCATTCGGTGAGGGTCATTTACCCATTTGTCAAGAACGGCTTCTTGTACCTTCTTGATGAGGCGCTGCTTAATGTTGTTATTGGTGAGAGGATGTGTTGTCATGTCAAACAGGAGAAAGTTCTGTTTCTCTGTCGTCAGTACACCCTTTTCTACCAGGTTTTTGGCTAATCGTTCCCGTACATTTCTTAACTGATAGTGCAATTTTAATGGATTCCACGTCTCACCTAAGTAAGAATGTTCCAGAAGTTAGAATTATGGGTATTATTTGCTGAACTATAACAACAACAAAAAACGAAATATTAGATAAGCAAAAGAACTTTTATTCTTGCCCCTTCCCCACATGAAGTCCAAGTCTGGACCACTGGGTTCCAGGCACCCATCATTCTCAGGCATAGTAGTCTTCAATCCACAGCCACCCTTGATCTAAAAGAATAATGAACCAAGTATTAAGTTTTGTTCCTGCCTGCTCTGGCAGAACATGGGGCACAGACTCGCCAGATGGAGGCGGGGGCTCTCAAGTGTGGAAGCATCTGGGCTACATGCAAAAGACTGTCCTACAAAATAAAAGCAGCACAAGGCCCTTGCAACCCTCAATACTAACAGCACCCCAAAGAAGCAGTAAATGGATCCCCACAAAGTACTGATCTTCAACAGAAAAAAGGAAAGTGAAGCTCTGTGGTTTTGAGTTACTCCTGACACTGACACTAAGACAATCTGTGAGACAGCAAAGTGTGTGTGGACAAGGATAAAAAATTATATAAAGTTGACCCCTGAAGAGAAACCCCCAAAAAAAAAAAAAAAAAAAAAAAAAAAAAAAAAAACATTTTCAAAGTTTTTTGTTTTGTTCTGGAGACAAGGTTTCTCTGTGTAGTCTCTGCTGTCCAGGAACTCACTCCATATACCAGGCTGACCACCAACTCAGAGACCTGCCTGCCTGCCTCTACCTCCCCAGTGTTGGGATTAAAGGCACATGCCACCACCACCGGGCATCATTTTTAGTTCTTAAGTCTGTCACCTAAAATCACTTCCTTTTAAGACAAATACTTGGTTAAACTAAGCATTTCCCATTAAAAATAATTTTCAGCTTAGCATGGTGGTACATGCCATTAATCTACAGCCTCATCTACAGAAGTGAATTCCAGGAGAGCTAGGGCTATATATAGAAACCCTATCCCCCCCCCCACAAAAAAAAAAAAGCCCTTTACAAAATTTGGTAAGAAGCAAAAATATTAGTAACTTTGACTAACTTTCAGATTATATGTAACAAGTTTAACTGTATTTTCCAAAGATCACCAATGAACACAGAACTACTTTTGCAGTTTGGGGGAAAAACAAAACATCAAAGGACTTTTCTAAACCACAACCCATTAAAAACCAACCCCAAACCCCTTCCTTCGGCATAGACTCTAAGGCTGTGAAGTTTTAGAACACTAAGAGAATCTACATTACTAAAGCTGTAACATGGAGAGTAACATGGAGCTATTTAAAATTTCAGTCCCTCAGCTCTACAAGCCACATTTTAAGTATGAAAAGTCGTAAGTAGCTGGCCTATTAGTTACTCACTAGGCAGCACAGAACACTGTTATCACAGGAAGGACTAGTGAACTGTGGCACCTGGAATGAATTTCTGTTCAGATGGCCACAGAAACTATTTTATTGTCACCTAACAGTAAAAAATTATCCTTGGCAGGAGCTCAGTAACACTTAAGCGTACATGATGCTCACACAGGGCCGGGAGTTTGATCCCAGCATCCACGTCAGGTGCCTCACAGCCAGCTTTAACTCCAAATTCCGG